CACTGATGCCCAGCACACAAAGACTCCCAGCACACAAAGACGCCCTGCACACACAGATGCCCAGCACACACTGACGCCCAGCACACACAGAGACACCCTGCACACACAGATGCCCAGCACACACTGACACCCAGCACACACTGACGCCCTGCACACAAAGACACCCAGCACACACTGACGCCCTGCACACAAAGACGCCCTGCACACACAGATGCCCAGCACACACTGATGCCCAGCACACACTGACACCCAGCACACACTGACACCCAGCACACACTGACGCCCAGCACACACTGACGCCCAGCACACACTGACGCCCAGCACACACAGATGCCCAGCACACACTGACGCCCAGCACACACTGACACCCAGCACACACTGACACCCAGCACACACTGACACCCAGCACACACTGACACCCAGCACACACAGATGCCCAGCACACACTGACACCCAGCACACACTGACACCCAGCACACACTGACACCCAGCACACACTGACACCCAGCACACACTGACACCCAGCACACACTGACGCCCAGCACACACTGACGCCCAGCACACACTGACGCCCAGCACACACAGATGCCCAGCACACACTGACGCCCAGCACACACTGACGCCCAGCACACACTGACACCCAGCACACACAGACACCCAGCACACACTGATGCCCAGCACACAAAGACTCCCAGCACACAAAGACACCCTGCACACACAGATGCCCAGCACACACTGACACCCAGCACACACTGACGCCCAGCACACACTGACACCCAGCACACACAGACACCCAGCACACACTGATGCCCAGCACACAAAGACTCCCAGCACACACTGACACCAAGCACACACTGACACCCAGCACTGGCTTCACCATAGCTACACACAGACATGTGACTGGCTTCATTACAGCTACACACACATGTGACTGGCTTCATCACAGCTAGACACACACATGTGACTGGCTTCATCATAGCTACACACACATGTGACTGGCTTCATTACAGCTACACACACATGTGACTGGCTTCATCACAGCTACACACACACATGTGACTGGCTTCATTACAGCTACACACAGACATGTGACTGGCTTCATTACAGCTACACACACATGTGACTGGCTTCATCACAGCTACACACAGACATGTGACTGGCTTCATCATAGCCACACACAGACATGTGACTGGCTTCATCACAGCTACACACAGACATGTGACTGGCTTCATCATAGCTACACACAGACATGTGACTGGCTTCATCACAGCTACACACAGACATGTGACTGGCTTCATCACAGCTACACACACACATGTGACTGGCTTCATCACAGCCACACACAGACATGTGACTGGCTTCATCATAGCTACACACAGACATGTGACTGGCTTCATCACAGCTACACACAGACATGTGACTGGCTTCATCATAGCTACACACAGACATGTGACTGGCTTCATTACAGCTACACACACATGTGACTGGCTTCATCATAGCTACACACAGACATGTGACTGGCTTCATCACAGCCACACACAGACATGTGACTGGCTTCATCATAGCTACACACAGACATGTGACTGGCTTCATCATAGCTACACACAGACATGTGACTGGCTTCATCATAGCTACACACAGACATGTGACTGGCTTCATCATAGCTACACACACACATGTGACTGGCTTCATCACAGCTACACACAGACATGTGACTGGCTTCATCATAGCTACACACAGACATGTGATTGGCTTCATCACAGCTACACACAGACATGTGACTGGCTTCATCACAGCTACACACAGACATGTGACTGGCTTCATCATAGCTACACACAGACATGTGACTGGCTTCATCATAGCTTCACAGACATGTGACTGGCTTCATCATAGCTACACACAGACATGTGACTGGCTTCATCACAGCTACACAAAGACATGTGACTGGCTTCATCATAGCTACACACACACATGTGACTGGCTTCATCACAGCTACACACAGACATGTGACTGGCTTCATCATAGCTACACACAGACATGTGACTGGCTTCATTACAGCTACACACAGACATGTGACTGGCTTCATCATAGCTACACACAGACATGTGACTGGCTTCATCACAGCTACACACAGACATGTGACTGGCTTCATCATAGCTACACACAGATGTGAGACTGGCTTCATCATAGCTACACACAGACATGTAACGTGCTTCATCACAGCTACACACAGACATGTGACTGGCTTCATTATAGCTACACACATACATGCGACTTGCTTCATCATAGCTACAGGTGATAAACTGTAACGTTAATGAAGTATTCCGCATAACTGATACTGAAGACATTGATTACAACAGATTCAAACGTCCCAACACAACACATGTCTACTGAAGCCTGACGTCAGCAACTCCGCATGTACCTCCGCTGTCAACACAGCCTGACAATACCACCATTACAACCCAACCATGAAAAAAGTCCAAAACAGTTTAACATAAAATATTCATATAAATGGCCATTTCAACCCTTTCCAACCACAACTCTAAACAAAGTTAATCGTGCTATCAGTCTGTGTCATGTCAGTTCTCTGGGAAACCTGTTCTGTAAATAGAATGTCATATTATCATCTCCTGTCAGTACTGCAACATTGTATTTGCCATTTGTTTGCCTGTGTGAATACAAGCACATTAGGTCCCCTTTCTCTAAACTAAGTGTAATCACAAACTCAATATTTTTACTAAATATACAATTGAATATATTACTTGCTTGTGAATATAACCATGTGAATATAACCTGCCTATTCGTTGCTTTCCGCAAAGACATATTACTTATAGAATTGACATCATACATGGCATAAATTATAAATAGAACAAGTATACACAAGACACAATCATTCGATATTTTGTAAAGGAGCACATTCCTTTGTTTGAATACTCAAAAATGTTCTACTGTTATCACATTTGCACGGTTTGATAAATTACTCATTTTTCTAACAGACGAATGAATAATTAATTGTTAGTGTTCAAATTAACAGAATGATTATGACAGTTCCTTCTGTGGAGACATTTGACAGATCATTCATAAGTAAACAGTAACCATTGTGAGTGCTTTTCTGTCAATAACCACATCACAAAACCAGCTGTGTTGGCGATCAAGCGAATCTCATCAAGTCACAAGCAGCCTATCTGGCAACAAACCTTAATCTATAATGCACACAACAACTTAGTGAAAACACAAAGGAAGTCAACATTAGCGAACCAAGTGTTCAGAAAACAGACCCAACTTTCCTAACACTGTCTGATTGGGTATTCATAAACGAATACATTAGAACAATACAAACATTAGCCAATGGGAACAATAATGTTTTTTAGTGTCAAACACGGAAATAAATCAAATATAATATCAGCATATAACTTTTAACTTTCTGCACATATCAGCGAATTGGCACTAGTCCTATAGTCCCTTGTAACAGCCTGATACTTCGGGTATCATACAGACGAGACAAAATTTGCCGTTTTTAAGGGGCTTGCTATGTGTTATCATTATAAGGAATGGAGGACTAAACGTTAGTATCTATCGCTGATAGATTATTGGATTTTTGGTAATATCTGTCAAAATGGCCACAAAAAATAAAAATAAGTTGTTCTGAGTATTTAGGCATGAGATAATCAAATACAACAATATTCTTGTATGCGTTCAGATCTCAATCAATGCAATTAGAGATGGACTTGAGCACAAATATAAATATCTTCTTATTTCGAGTTGTATGTGTATTTTCAAAGTGTCTCAATATGCAAACCAACATTATTTTAATCAGTGTGAATCATAATAAATAAGAGAAACAATTTGCACGGGACTAAAGATGCTAATATGTCTTCATCATCATGTGCAGTATTGTGCACAGATTTTACATGTGATTTTTCTCGAAAAAAAGTATCCTTTCTGGCATTTTTGGCAAATTTCTATAAAGAGAATCCCCAAAATAATTTACATGAGTACATTCATATTCACTATTACAGAAATTATTAATCAATTTCATAAACATGAAGTCTTGCTTGTTTAGTGTGGTAGGGCTATACTATCCAATGTAATCAGTGTTAAAAAAATCATTGAAATTTCAATACTGATGTTAAAATGTATACCGTATTCGACGTAATAAGCGCCCAGGGCGCTCTCAAAATTAGAAATAGGGGGCTCTTATTAGAATATGATTTTGGTGGAAAATACAGAGTTGAAAGATAAATTTCGTGGTTTATGCTGATGGTCTGGACTGTTTATATACGACAGATATATTTTTCCAGAATTTAATTGCCCATGATTAAGGGTGCATATAACACACGAGTGCGTATTATACACGAATAAATAAGTCTTGTGTACATTGATCAATCGGAAGGGGTGCTAATTGGGATTGTTCACTAGCCAATATATTAGCATATATCGCCGTGGGCGCTTATTAGAGCGGGGCGCTTATTACGTCGAATACGGTAATCAATAAGATAAAAATTTAAACAACTAGAGAGAAAATAGGTCAAGTAACTGACATTGGTCACTTTCATCCAGTGTGATATGGATCATAAGGTGGGCAAATGATAGCCTTTGTTTATATATCAACAGGGTCCTACACAACCACTAGTCTACCAGGTCAAGGCTAGTGAAGTGATGTTCTCCTAAAATATTATGTTACCAAAACAATGCAGTGTTGAAATTTTTCATGGAAGTCTACAGGTCTGTGACATAACCCCAATGTTAACAGTTACATACTTTGGGGGTCCCTAAATTGAAATACCGTATTCGACGTAATAAGCAATGCGTACGAATTTAAAAGTGTTTTTTAAGATAAACTCAATGTGTCTACCTATGCTCAATATCCTTGTGTATCCAACAAATTAACAGGTCATCCATGCATAGATTAGATGACTCATGAACATGATCCCGTTGTGCTAACACAATATGTACCTGACACAACTCAGGTGAGTAGACTGATGAACACTTCCACTTACCATTAGTGAGTTGCAGAGGATCAACAAGCCGTTCCCCCGTTTGCTTATATCAACTGAGTCTGGAAAACAAAGGAAATATGAAAATTGCAGTGTTAAAATTAAAAGGCAGTTTAAAAGCTAAAAAATACACACCTAGCTGCTTGATAATTTCTTAAGAATTTTGGGGTGATTCTTATGAAATGGCATTATTCCATTACCAATAATAGTTGTTGTTTTTATGAAATAGGGACATTGGAAACAGACACCAAGAAACAAAAAGAAGGAAATATTATGTTCCTTAACATAGCCCAAAGCATTACAAAGTTACATCATGTTTGTCTGCCAGTGGGATTGTGTAGACAGATAAATTGCATACTCAAACAACCTGCCTGGACAATACCTTGGGCAAATATTTACTCATTAGGTGAGGTATGACTAATTACAATCGGATCAATTGGCATTGCCTCAAGGTATTTACAGGATATTGGTAGTACCTATTATGTCACAAAATATGGAGGAGGGGAATTATGTTTTTATTGATTTGTGCTGATTGTAATCTGTACAATGATTTTCATAATTTGTATTAGACCACATACATAACAAACATGTCCAAATATGTACCCTTACTATATTCTAAATGATGATAACATGAAATATTATATTTTGAAGTCCCTGAATATGAACATTGAAGAATGTTTTACTTTTATTTTACATATGAGTGTGAGAACTTAAAAGGAGTCCTGGCATCCTTGGGGGTATACTGCTTCTGTATTTGAATCTAGAGAAGCCCCATAGCATGATAGTGGAATGAATTCTTAAATTTTGAACACTGAGTAAAACCTTTGTTCTTTTCATTTAAAACAAATCGCCTTGCGAAAATGTATTTAGAAATTAACATTTAATGAAAACAATCTTTGAGTGTGTGAGTCAAAGATCTGTTCTTATGTGTGGCATTATTCAAACTGAAACACAAAAAGGACGTTTACATTGAAACAGGTTGAACAGATGGCTTCGAATTGGTTTGGTGAGGAATTCACCTACAGCCAAATTCCTGAAGATTATACATGATATACCAACTTCCTATTTTCCCCTTTAATGTTACTATTGCTTATTATTCTGGTACGCATTATAAGAGAACACACATGCCAAACTGAACCTATGAGTGATGAAATTACTCTTAATACACAACTACATCCTGGAAGAAACAGAAACATTGTAATGGAAACTGTATGTGGTGCATATATCTAATATAGCCCAGTACATTGGATGATTTGTGGTTATGATGCCACCTTCAAATTACCTGTAGAATGGCACAATGACCTTCAATTTTCCATATCAGCTGCTACACTATAGATTTTGATCCACCACTGATGAATTAGACCAATATAGCCAGCATTAAAACCAACTGTCTGATCTACACAATGAAGAAATATATTTAGAACTGATAACAATGCAATATATGCCAGGAATACAATCAAGATCTGACCAAGAGTGATGAAATTATCAATTATTGACATTTTTATGTGGTTGTCAACTACTTTTCTATCAAAATGGTACGAGGCCAATTATCAAGATCTGGTAATAATATTGTGGTACAAACACGTATGTAATCAATAAACAAAAGTTAATAAAACCATATATTCTGTTTGTGTGAACAAAATTCATTTTGCGACAGGTCGTGCTTAAGTACATGTAGCGTTCTTCTCGGTTACAGCCACGTTCTGGAGCCTGTTTTGACAGCAAATGCAAGGCTGCTATCCAATTCTTTGGGGACTCACCTATTTATTTACACGCAGTACAGGCTTTCGCATTTTAAACCGTGTCAGTGCAATGGTGCCATGATGGTCTATGTCCAGCAGAACGTCGTTAATAAAAGGAAGGAATTCATAATTATCAATCCACTATGGCCTTGCTCTTGTCACATCTTGAGCATCTGCGCATCGGCCATTGCCTAACCTTTGACCTTCAGGATGAGAATTTTATAACTTGATCACCGTGTTTCTGAGAGAATATGATAGTTTGTTTTATCTACAAGAACGTATTTATTAATAGTGTCAGGATTGGAATTGAAAATATCTAATTGATTATAGACATCCTTTTGGAGGAAACAGCAATCCATGTTTACTTCCTTTTTATGAAACCCGGAAATGCCAATTATCTCCCTTTGAACTAGTTTCCTTAAAACTGTCTTTTATTTTCTTAATTCAACATCAATATATCTTGTAATTATGTCATCAAACAAATGCATATTTAAAATTATACATAAACGCTCATATTAATTTTTAAAGATGTTATGTTAAGTTCATAATTAAGATAAACACATCAAGAAATCGTCCAGAATACATTTATTTATAATTAGTTGCTACGAAGATAGTATAATATTTTACAAACGCAGGCCAATCAAAACTTTGTGTGGGATGTTTGAAGACGGCAAGGATGAAGGCATGAACAGGTGGCTGCAATTAATAACGCGATATTTTGTTTATCGTATTACGAAACGTGAGATAACATGGACGGATATAGGCATATTAGCTGTGTGGAAAAGGTTAATAATCTAAGGACATTTATAAAAGACGATCTACTTAACTGTGGTGTCAAACTTCCGAAAAATAAGAAAGCCAAGAAACTCAACAATTCAAGAGGACCATCACAGGTGAGGAAAATATTGTGAATCTTCGTAAGTTTTGATTCAGGCTAACAACATATGTCAAAGCTGCATTTGGAAGTGTGGATGTTTGATTTACTTACCTCGTCTATCATTCTACAAAACGAAACAGATCGAATGTTTGATGTTGAAAGCAGCTTGGTGAGATAATCACAAAAATACAGCCATGTGTTTGTGGGTCAGATGTGCGGGTGCTTTACAAAAAGAGTTGTACATAATACCAATTCCAGTGACTTTTGACTCCTTTCACCGAAAACAATGCAGAATTTTATGAATTAATTTCTTACTATCACAATAACATCCAATATTGGTGACTTATCAAGCCTTCCATTATATGGCCTAGCTTGATCTTCCATACAGTGATTGTAACCACTATATAAACACTGATAAACCACTGCTGTCTTCTCAGTTCCTGATTATGTTTCAAACTACAGTGAGAATTTATTTTATTTCGTGCCTGGAATCTGTCATAATAATGCGATTAACCTCAATTTGTTGATACTTATGAATTTAACATTTGTATTACCACAGATACAGGACCAACGTCAAATGAGTGTCTTTGTTTTGCAGGATGGAATTCTTGTTCCTAGTGGTATATTTGGTAATTATCTTGCTCACGTCCCTTGCGAATATGTCACAGACTGTGGATATGTTCCCAAGTAAGTTTCTTTGACAGTATCTTCGTAATAATGTGGTTTGTAGCATATTAATGGTTTGATAATGTGAAAAGTTAAGACTTCTTGCCATTGCATATTAATCATGTTGATAGTGATTGGTTTATGGTGTAACGTTCTTGATGTTGATACACTTTATTGTCCTTATAAATTAGATTTAGAAATATGTCTGTTGCATCCATTGTCACATGATATGAAGCATCACATTGTACAGTCAAACATGATACATTTTCTTAGTGCAGTTTCTTTACAAAATTACATTCATATTGAAAAGTATAGTTACCAATCTGTTTTTCATACAGTCTTGTTACTTTTATAAATCAATTCTTCCTTCCAGATTTTTGGTTGACTCAGCAGAGCATATTAAGATCCATTTCAAAACTGAAGGTATATTTCGGAAATCTGGATCAGTCAGCAGGCAAAAGGAACTCAAGGTAAAATTTCAATCTGCTAAAAAACAGTGAAATGCTGTGTGTTATTTTGAAATTGAATGTTATGTTAAACATGTCAAGAAAGTTATGCAGTCAACTTAAGAAAGATCAGTCTAAAAGAGACTTTAGTCTTAAGGTGTTTAATGTCATAATTTGTATTGATGTCTGTGCCAAAATATGTTGAATCTAGCAGCCAAAATTTGTCCTTCAATATTAGTTTCAGTAGATTTTGAACCAAACATATGGACTTCATTGTTAACACTATTGGCTGAGCTTATTAGACTCTCAAGCATTATGCTGGATCATGGGGACTGTGGCTTCTGGCCACAAGATGGCCACAAGATGGCCACAAACTGCCCTGCACTTAACAACTATATGCATATTTGAAGGTTCACATATTTTAAGTGGGTTGTAATTTGTGTAAAGTGGTCTTTTCTTACCACAACATAGTACAAAAGTGTGGTTTTCATGAAGTTCATTTATTCTGTTTGGTATATACATGATATGAATTATGATGTGATCTGGAGTCACCAATATGGTAAACATGTTCATGATATTATTTGAGGTTTCCCCACAATAAGTTGACAGCAATTTTAAAACATAATCACTGATTACACAGGATTTGACTAGATGCCTAATGATTATTATATCTGACATCTTCCTGGAGCTGACTAATAATCAAAATGATCAATTTTGAAATGTTAAATTTTCAGCAACAAATTGAAGAAGGTGTTAATATGGATGTATCCAGCATCTACGACCTGACCACCCTCATCAAACAGTTCTTTCGTGAGCTGCCCGAGCCCCTGTTCACAAGCCTGTACCACGACACTTTCATCAAATGCTACCAGCTTGATAACACCAAGTCAGTGACAGAAGCAATCCATGCTCTGTGCCTTCTCCTCCCAGCGGAGCATCTCAGCACCCTGCGCTTCATCATGCAGCTTCTCAACTTCATAGCTTCCCACTCAGATGATAACAAGATGGACGCTGCCAATCTAGCAGTTGTTCTCGCCCCTAACATCATGCATGTCAACAGCAAAAGTGAAAAGATGAACTCGACTGAGGAAAAACTGCTGCAGATCCAGACAGCTATTGTGGAACTACTTATAAAGGATGCTGAGAAAGTGGGCATGGTTTCGTCAAGTCTGTATCAGCGAACTACCCTCATGACTGAGTGTTTTGGGGTGCAGACAGATGATGAGTTGGATGCTAGTGATGACAATACGTTAGAGGATTCCAAGGATATGAAGAAAAAGAAGAAGAGAAAGAGGAGCGGGTCACTGCAAGGTAACAATACAAGGAGAATGATTGGCACAAGAAACTTCCAATTTTTAACTTTATTTTAATTGAATATCAGAGCTTCAGATATGCAGCATATTTGCATAAAATCCCCCCCCCCCCCATTCAAAACCCAATTACTTTCAATTAACTTGCGTACAGAAACACATGCATTAAATGAAAAACTCAAATGTATAAAAACAGCACATGTAAATACCCAATGGAGCTTTTCAACAATGTGTACAAAGGATCTAATTTATTTATACGATTATTTCATTTTTTAAATGTTAAAATGTTCACTAATTTTGGGGAAAACCCAATAGAGTGATGAATAGATAAGTGAAAAAAATATTGGTCACCCAATGAAAAATGAAATCACCCAATTAAAATAGAAACCCTAGAATAAAAACTCTATTGCTCAAAAACTTGTCTGGAGCTCTGAATTTTTAGAATTTTAGTTATGCACAGTGGTCATCTGGCTCGCAATTTTTTTATTTCTTCTCTGTGTATGTTTAATTTTTTCAATTGGACACTGCTAGTGAATCATGTAATTTGGATGAACCTGTTTTAGGGGATATGAGGTCGTGTGAATGGTAAACTCAAAAGAAAGATATATCCCGATCATCTCGGTAGAATGACACAGCGGATGGCCATTCTGTCATGTTGTGTACAACAAGATCTCTATTTGCTCATAAATCACCATGAAATGAGGCAAATGGAGGCCAAGATTTAATCTCCGAGTGCATGTAAGGATGTTTTAGTGGTGAGAGGAGTTCTAAAATATTCAGAGTCCTCCTGGTTAATGCCTTGCCAGCATAAAAATCAGATTAGCTTTACAAATATCATGATGCATGTTCCTTACATCATACAACGCCTATCATTAGTCTTGGGAACTGATTGTTCAGTCATGTTTGATGAAGAGATCACCCCGACCAAGCTTCAAGATTAATTGGTTAGCGTCACTTTCCTGAGTTTCAATGTTAAGTTCAGTAAAACTAGATCACTCCAAATAAACACCAACACTAATACTGACTTCAGTACTTTAGTTTTCAAAAAGACCTGTGGAGATCTGGGTAAAATTGGTCTTAGCAACCCATGCTTGTCATAAGAGGCGAGTATGCATGTCGTAAGACTAAGAGGCGACTTAACAGGATTGGGTGGTCAGGTTCACTGACTTGGTTTGATGCATTTTGTTGTGTCCCCAATGCATAGGTCGATGCTCATGCCAACCACAGGATTGTCTGGTCCAGACTCCATTATTTACAGACCACCGTCATAAAGCTGGAATATTGCTGAGTGTGGTGTTAAACAACAAACAAACAAAAGCATTTAAAAAAGACCCTGGCCTCGGTCTTTCTCACTTTTATTTCTTCACGTACTAAATATTAAGTAGTGAAACTCAGAACTTCCGAGGGGCAAATCAGTTGTTTCATTGTGGGAAATTGCATTTGTTTGGTCGTTTAAACCAGGGCGGGGACGAGTCCAAATTTACTACTCGACCCCCTATTACCAGATCCTACACGAATTAGGAATTGTTTTACCGGACCCCTGACAAAAAGTATTCAGACACATATAGAAAACTGATCTGGTCATGCATACATTGAAGTTGACTGGAGCTGTATCTTCACTCAAAACATATAAAAGACAGAATGCATGTGCAAATTGTCAGAAAGATATCCAAACATTAGTAACTTGTTGGTAACCATGGAGTTATAGTAGTGAATTGTGCTCATTAAACAATAAAGCATGTGACTAACCAAGGGCTCGGGTTGTCCTGTGGGTACCTGGGTCCTACTCAGTACCAACCCGAGTTACCCATCTGAGCCCTATTTTAAACCTTCCAATTAATCTTCACTTATTTCAATTGATTTGAACACCTCTTTGTGTCCTAAACAAGGTGAACTGAACCCAACTGTAATGCATTGTGTGTTGTAGGCATTGTCAGCTCTATAGCAAATGGCCTGGCGAAGTTACGGAGAAGTACAGATGGCAAGAATGGAAACTCAAGTCAGAATATGACCACTGCCTCAAATGAAAGTGCCCAGTCTCTCTCCGGATCCCTTGAACATACCCACTACCCAACAACCACACCTGTCGTCATACGAAAACGCAAAGCCTCTGGCGAGGTCATTCCCTTTTCAGCATCTAAAAAGTAAGATATATTACATGAATGTTTTTATTAGGGTGATTTAGACAGGTTAGAAGTATGGATGTTGTGTTATCATCATGATCATGGAATATTCCTCCAACTTTATCAAGACGTATGTATTACTATTGTAAATGTTAACAAGAAATGCTGTTTTCTATTAAATGTTTTATTCAAAGTACAATAATACCAGTTGCTAAAGGTGTAGCATCAGGTAAGTATAAAAACATTGCATTTATCCCGAATTGCTCATTTTTGTTAATATTCTTTGTTTGTGAATCTAATTGTTACCACTTCTATGTTTCTGATTGCATTGTGTTGTTTTCCTCCTCCAGAAAGGCCATTCTGCAACACCTCCCCCAGGGGTCAGCACTGGGACACACACCCTTCACCCCCGCCTCAGCCATCAGGAAGATGGATATAAATGGTATTCACATCTGCATGACACATCCCTATCCTGTTTTGGAACAGTTTTGTTTATTTGTATGCAGAAATTAGATGCACACATGTTGGCTGTTCTTAGAGTTATTCACTTTTAACTACATGATATTACATGTAGCATCCATATGGTTGAACACCTGTGTGTTACCGGTTCTGGTGGCTGCCGTGCTTGCAATGCTAAATGTAAGTTACATAGTACCAGATTTCTTGGTACCAAACATGAAGCAATTGTGTTCATTAAATATGATAACAATCTATAATATCACTACTCCTTTAAGAAATAGAGAAATAATGCAGAGGTAGCCACCGGTGGTCAAATCCAACTAGTTTGTGGTTCATTTTGGACTAGAGGTTTGTGTAAAATTGCTAGATTTTGGAAGAAAACAACTAGTCTCATGGCCGTGTCTATCCATATAATGGAGGTAGTGCGATAGGTCAGTGTGAAGATACTGGGTCAAGCAGTGAACAGACCACCTAAAGGGAGACAACTGCAAGGAGCATCTATTAGCATTGCCTATGTTGTTACTTGACCAGGCCATGTTCCCAAGGTTATACAAGGCCACTCGTTCGTCAGTCCAAGACTTGTGAAACTCAAAGACTAGATTGTTTTCTACCAAAATCCCATTGATGAAAAAAACACCAGCCCCAATTATGCGCATGGTGTCTATCCCTGGTTTCCACGTCTAAGGATGTTTTGTTAATTTCAGATCCTAGGAGAGGTGGAGTTTTGGATACTCCTAGTCTGAGCTTTGGGGACAAGCAACATATGCCATTTACAGCCACTCCCTCTCACAACATCAAGACTCCGCGCAAGAAGCTCAACCTGTTCAGTCCAAGCAGCAGCAAGAAGAAGATGGCAAGGTGGGTACAACACTGGCATCAGAATCAGTATGAGCTGAGTTTGTAATCATGGCACATTTAAACAGCAAAAGATTGTGAACGTCCACTTTGGCCAATTAAATATTATACGAACTGAAGTTGACCTTATTAAACCATTGAGCATCTGTTTTTAGGAGCCCATCATTCTCCAATATTTCTACTGGATCTACCAAGAAGAGCGGACGGGGAAAGAACATCTTCAGAAGACTTAGTGGCAGCAAGGCTGATAAGGTGTGTAGATTGCTTAAACTGTCATCTACTCTGTCAAACGATTTTTGTGTTTGTCAATTATTTGACCACTTGATCGTGTTCATATACATCTACTGTATGCTAATGTACTTTAATATATTTACATTGTATTCTGTTTTTCTTGGAAAGATAATAGTCCAGTTGCATTAAGCCTATGTTTGACCATTGTGAAGTTTTGCTGAAGTGTATGATTTAGGATAGTTTTAATGCCGAGATAATTAAAAGATTAGATGAAGATGTTAAATAAATCTCCTTTTTCCCGCAGTCATCTGCATCCGACTCCTCCTTGCATATCGGTGAGCGTCTGGCCAGTCCCACCAAAAAAGATGAAGCCATGGACGCAACATCTATGAGGAGAAGTCAGTCCGAATCCGACTCTCCCATCTCGGCACTTGCTCAGAGTACTACCTACATGCCTGATGCCTCTGTTGTCTCGCATATGGACATCAAACAGACACTAAATGAAGGATTCATTAATGAATCTCATCTGGATCTGGATCACACCGATGCTGGGTCTGGATTGCAGCGATCTCACAGCCTGTATAGGCCTGTCCATGCATCAGCGTCTGATCCAGTGGTAGCGGGGAGGAACACAGAGGGCAACTCACATAAGAGGTCGCTCTCTGCTGAAGGGATGAATCTCAGACGAGGACAGCCAAACACCATCCATAACGGCTTATTAAAGGGTCAGCAAAATCAGTTGAAGAAGTTGAGAAAAAGTTTTGACAAGTCTGACATCAGTGGTCCCATACCCATAATTGTACCAGCAATTGGTGATGGGACAGAGTCCAAGCAGAGGATGGAAGGGGAGAAGATACAGAAGGTTCCTCCTTTACCTCCTCTCTCTGCCCCGAACCAGAACAGTAGCCTGATGAATGTAGTCCTTCCCCCTCCTGATGGCTTTAATGACACAATACAGCAGACGGGGTATGACTCGGATGAGTCTGAGGCAGGTTTCTCGACAATATCAGGTGATACTGTCATCTACATTCCCAAACAGTCCTCATCCTCAACAAGCCTGCAGTCCAATAAGTCCCAGGGCAGCCACAGAGGACAGGGGCGAATGTCTGCTCAGACATCCAGAGAAAGCATTAAGAAGAGTCTTCAGACCAGTAACAGCTCAGATAGTCTGTTGAGCTCAGGATCTGAGATGTCTGTTGAGAGCAACACCTCCAAGTTAGAAAGATGTCTGTCCACTGACAGTGGGAAAGGATCTTTGTTTGATGAAACATTAATACAGCCTCCAGCCCATGAGCCAAAGGACTCTCTTGACGTTGCCTTTGTTGCTGATGAGAGTATGCTTCTGGACACAACCATTATGAGGAAGTCAGAATACATGGATTCGGATACAGCGAAACCATCTGATCAGGCCCACCCACACCAACCAGTAGTAAAGAAGTCCCATTCTGCACAACAGCTAGCTCTTCCACCCCGAACTGGAGTTGTACGTTCACAGAGCATGTATTCTCACCAAGAGGCACGCAAACACAACATTAAACCGAACTTGCTAATCTCAGCTGAAACTCACAAAATCTTGTCACGAGCTGGTTACTTTCCTGACAAAGCACCACAGCCAAGTGGCAAAGATTTCCGTCTCCCTGTCAAGTCACCACCGAGGTCTCATTCGTTTAATGTGTCTAGAAGAAATACTACTCTGGCTGATCAGTCCATGTTGGATGAAAGCCAGGTGTGTAGCAAAAGCGTTCACGAACTACAAGACATTTCACAAAGGTCATATTGTGAAACACCAAAGAGACACAATGTCAGTGAAACGTCGCGCAGACCACAGTCCTGTGAAATATCTGGTATTTCAAACAATGGAAGAATACAACCAGGCACGCAAAAAATGGAACTTGTGCCAGAAGGACACACATTGCTGCCTCAGATAAAACGAGCCGAGATGCCACTACCAAAGCATGAAAGTGTTACACAAATGCATGCGTCAAATGCTGGAAAGGTTGCAGAGAATGTGAAGCAGTTTACTGATGTTGTGGAGAAACAGTTATTGTCTGGTCCCATGTGTGCTCCAAAGCAAAGAGGCATGTCCCCGGTCAGGATACCAACAATATTTGCAAAGAACAATGACATGTCTGCACGGTATCGAGACATGGCCCAGGCAGCCATAGAGAGGGGCAGACTGGCTTCAGATGATAGGCTGTCAAATAAAAGTGATGTGACAAGCCAATCATGTGTGATGAATGGCAGTCTTTCTTCCATCTCGACGCTCACCGACTCCGAAACTGACATATTCAAACATCCAGCTTCTGTAAGCACAGGGAAGACCTTGACAGTGAAATCCGAGGTTTCCATGTCAGTTACCTCCCCTGATGACAGTGTCAACATCACAACAGATATCGGGAGTAGAGTTTCATTTGAAGGTCAGCAAGTTGACCTCAGCTGTTCTTTGCTGGACACCATCAATGACATCTGCACTCCAAAGATACAGCGGAAGACCAGCAGTAGATCACCCCTGAAAGACTGTGGTAACAATATGAGTGGTCAGAGCCCTACAAAACCTATGGAGATCACGGACCATGTTGTCCTGAGGACTGCGAGTGGGATGACACCACGTCAGGTACTGCGTTTTTCTCAGCCTTCACGCAGCACCTCAAAGACTGTGCCCAACAAGCCTGTGAAGAGACTGAGTTCTCCAGGACAAACACTAAGGAACTCGAGATCTCCAAACAAACAGTCTTCAACATCGCTTCCTGATAACTCAGCTCAAGCTATGTAATAATGGTGCAGATATTGTTTTGGGGGAATAGTGAACAGATCTCAAAATGGTTAATTGTTCCTTGAACTCAGGGTATCAATAAAAGTCAACTTTGGATACAATGAAGTCATGTAAAGTCCTCGAACAGTCAGCTATAACAAACCAATGTCTCATATACTTTGAGTGGAAACAAGTGTGGTTGTGCCAATAATTTCGGAAGTACTCAATTCTGATTGGTCATTCTTAGGTTTCAAATCACAGAAAACACCTCTGATTGAAATAGATGATAAACTGCTTTTGATGGTCATGAGGTCTTTAGTGTCTGGAGTTTACTGAATCAGGGGAATTTGTTATTTTAACATTAACAATCTTAAATGTGATTTCTGAACAAGTTATTGATGGGCATTATTTTTGTCTGCTCCCTATTCCTCCACAACATGCTTCCTGCTTCCTTCCCTTGTGGGTCTCCTGTATCAATGATTAGTGCTTACACTGCCATACCCACATATGGCAGCTTCTTGTTCTATTGTGTTTGTTGTGTCCATAGTTTTAATCCATGTGCAATGTGCAAATCTTGTTAAACCTCACTGGTGGGATCAAGTGATCAAGGAATACAATTTTATAAATCTATAAATGTTTTCTTTGACAACCAGTTTTATCCTCTGAACATGTAAATATGCTTTTGGAAGATGCTTAAGGATTCTTGTTATCTGTACAGAGGAGTATAAAGTTGATCTAATATTTATTGATTTATATGTTACGATGTTCATGATAATCAGAAGTCAAGAGACAGCTTATCTTTCATATGAAATGAAAAATGATATAGATGAATATTTGGTTGAAAGAAAATAAAAGAATGAAATGTGTGCTGTATAGGATTGAAGTTATCAGTGGTTCTCTGCAGTATTACATTGAAGAAACATCACTGGAACTACGGGGGGATACAGTAGCTATGGCTTTGTTCGAAATAAAGCAAGTCACGGGTTTCTGGTGATGACCCTATTGTCAAGGATTAAGGAGTCCCCAGATTCGTATGATACCCGGGGCCCCTTGACTTTGAACATTGCATAGTAACTGTTGAACAACTAACATTGATCACTGAACATGGCTTGTTTGTTTGGATAGGACTTATAAACAATAGTTGTATGAAAAAAATTGGGTGTTCTTTAACTTCTTTTGAGTAGTATATTTCATGTTTGGGTTTTTGTAAACTGTCATTTTAAACAGTATTTGTTTACATCCTATAATCTAAAGGTTCATTTTTCTTCATTGATAAATCAAAGCATGCTGTATTATTATTCAAGGTTTGAGGTCATCGTTATTTCTTTGGTTTTTCTCAACAGCGATATCAAATATCTTCTTTATTCATGTTATAGAACTTGGCTGTCTTTGCAACCTTTATACAAAGTTAACAAAAAGGTCTCATAGCAAATCAAGTCATGAATGCAGTTTACCTTTAAGGCCTCAGTATGTATTACTGAATTTTGCCAACGAATTGCTCAAACGGTTTTTATTGTAAGTAATTGTATTATATAGGCGTTTTTTAAATCTGTTTTACCATTTTACCATTTTTGACAAATTGATTTCATTTCTCAATTGTGTAAAATGAAGTGTATGATGCACCTATTGCCTACATTTCCGACTGATTTGCTCATAGTTCTTGATTACTGTTTTCACAGACATGAATACATCTGTTGACCAATCAAAAACTGTTGTGATTTGCTTCATATCAATAGTAAAACCAAATATGTATTAAAACATTTGTGTGCAAATACCAGTCATGCACATATACCAGTGTACAGATTATACAAAATAGAAACATATATGTATATCTTGAAACTGTAGAGCAAAGCATACATATATCATCATATACTGTTATAGTACGTATACAGGCTGAGTATTATGCAAAGTGTATGTTGGGGGCTATCCGCATAACTATCTGATGACATAATCATTCCTTTCGGGGTTGTCTGTTGTCAACCAAAGACAGTTAGCAGCAAGTATGTATTATTTCCAAGAATGCTGAATGTCCGCACTGAATTATATTCTTTTGACACAAAAGCAATGTTTTGCCATCATATGTTTTCTGGCAGTAACTTATGGAAATAATGCCTTATGTAGTATATAATGTATAGTTTACATCTTGTTCGTACACTGGATGCTGCCGGAGGTATGCCTGTTGCTGCAACATACACTTGTTAGAACGATGCTCTTGTACCATGTTTAGTCGAGATTTTGTCCTCCTGGTGTTGTGATATTACAATTATTTTGTTGAACATTTATTATATCCATGTATCTAAGTTAGAGGTAGATAAACTTTATTAGTCATGTTTATTATTTATGTTGGTGGCCTATATTATTTGGATCAAATCCATGTATGATATCAACTAGAGATAGAACAAAAAGAAAAATTGTCATGATATTCATGTAACTACTATGAAACATAATCTGATGTTTTATATACAGACCCTTGTTTCACAACACAAGAATGAACTATTTTTGTATTTTATTAACACCAGATTATGTTTTATAGATTAGCTTAGGTCAAAACATGTCAAACCCTATTTTTTTGGTTGATTAATTATCTCTGAGTTCAATTTTTTTTTTTCAAAGAAACAACAAAAAGCCCTTCTTATTAACAAACATTTGAAACTTGATATCCTGAATTTATCAAATTCCTCTTTATTTGTAATCAACCTGACAAACTTGTTTTCCATGTGGACTCTATCATTGCTTATTGGTCTAGAAAAACTCAACTTGTCCTGGCCTCATTGAGATTAAAATGCAAGTTCCATTTACTGTTGTTACCTGCAATACTTAGGGGATACAGCAGCCAAGTCCTACTTGCATCTGTACTTCAGCATACAGTTTAAGTCCAACCCACCGGTTTGATTCTTGTTTCAGTTTAGCATAATGTCACATGGACAAGACAGTGGCACTTTCATCTTTGGGTCTTTTCCTACCCTGTCCATCCTCTAGCCATCCGTATCTCAACATCTCAGTTTGGACTGCAATCTTTGTATGAATATATGCAATAAAATATCATATTTGAAATTGTTTGTCTTATGAATTCTAACAGCAAGAATTATAAAATGGATTAGCTTTCCTATGAAATGAAAGAACCATTTTTCTCACAATTTCAAGGCCAAACGGGGATGATTCTGTTACGGATGTCTCTAAGACCTGTTCACAGAATATGTCACGTTCATTACATTTTCATTCAAATTCTCACATTAAGACACAGACAAGATTCAATTATTTTAATAGTTAACATTGCACATTGATACACAAGTCACAATCACTATGGATACATGGGTGTATAGCAGTTTTCTGATCCTAGCATACATATGAAATACATTTCTTCTAAAGATATACTGAATTTGTTTGTGCAGTGATTTTGAATTAAAGAGGAACTACTTGCTCATGATAATGGTACTAGCACATGATAAGCTACACAGCCATTCTTGAGTCAAAATCATAATACAGACATCAATTCAAACAGTGCTTTGTACTTGGAATGATACCGAATCCTCTTCATATTATCTACTCACAAAATGACAATATTTACATGTGAATATTTGATGTTTTCAAAATTTGAAATCTGTTGTAACATTACACATATTGTATTATGACAGTATTTGACTGATACATGATTGGTTGGACAAGCCTTCGTACATCTTCCCGATGCAGAGGAGTTGACTGACTTTTAAAGTCCAGTTTCCACCCTTGACTGGAATTATGGAGTTAAATTTCTATTGGAGTAACGAGTCAATGTATATCCCAATCAAAATCCTGTAACGAAATCGACACTGGTTCATAAACAACATGGCAACAGCTATCCTGAATTTGTTTGATTGCAGAGCATGTGTACCATCAACTAGGTGTCAACAGATATTTTCCAAATCTGAGTGTCAGTTGTGGGGACAAAACTCGTATAATAGCCACTGGTGGCACTACAAACGAGCCCAGAAATTCCAGCCTGCTATGGCAAGGGTGGAAACATGACTTTATAAAAAATAGTTAACTCCCTTGCCTCAAGAAGATGGCCATTGAACAGATATAACATAACAAAGTAAGTATTCAGTAAAATAACAGGAGTGTAATGAGTTGCATCACTGAACAAAAACACATTCAAGAGGTTTACAAAAACACCTCACTTCAACACACACAGATCCACAATTTTGCACTTGTCTTTGAAGAAAGCAATGATTTTCTGGCTGCTTTTCAAACAAAGAGCATAATAATACACTATAACTCAGGGAGAAACATTTTCTCAACCCAAATATTAATTACACCTTTGCATGAAGGACACCTTTAACATGAGTCGGTAGGATCCAGGTGAGGGCGTAATGTTTCCCTGATAATTACAGCTATGTTAGATTTACCAAAAAAAATACATTGTTGATGCACGGACATGGTGCATCACTGTTGTGTATGAAACATACGAACAGAACAAGAAACGATTCCCCACTTATAATATATACAAATACTTGTCTACTCGTCATTCTGTCAGTAATGTGTGATGATCTACATTAATATCAAAGGTTTGGTACAAGTTTTTGTAATCATATTCCAAAGATATTGTCCTATTACATGACAAAACATCCTTACGTCCCATACTGCCGACTTCAATACAGCTTTTCAAGACACACAAACATAAAACAGACTCTTCTACATACAGAGCAAGGGGGCAGACAGGCTGATGACCATATCACCTTCCTGATTCTATTGCAACACAGACTGTATGATGACCATAGACTACTGGAAGTAAGAATTACAAATTTGTTTATGATGAACTCATGATCGACTTGGCGACTTTAACCAAATCCTAACACCAGTAACAAACACATAGTTATGCAAATGAAAAGACTGGAACATCCTACTGGGAGTGCCAAATGTTTCTTCAGTCTCATTTAGATCATCAGGTTTTAGTGCTTGCTACCAATACACAAATGATCTGAGGACAGCCCATCACAGGTCATGTCAGAGCGACCTATCACCAATTGACCAATGAAATGACTAACAGTTAGTCTACATTAGCCAGTCAGAAAGCAGCTTTCTCGAGCTTCACAGCACTAGCTTCAAAATGGAGACTTCAAGTCCAAACTACTCATTAAAAATATTTGGACAAAGTTATCGATTCCAAATTTTAAAACCAAACAGAAGAAAACTCTGGAATGTCTAACAGATGGCTCAGACTATATGGCTGTCGTGAGTGAGTGAGTGAGTTGGGTTTAACGCCACTTTTAACATTATTCCAGTTATATCACGGCGTGTCGGCTTAATGTGGGAGGAAAGCCCGAAGTGATGCAGGTCTCAGACGTTTACCACTTCGGTGAAACCCATGAGCACAGGTATGGTGCTGACAAACCTAGAAACATAATCGGGCCGAACCGGGATTCGAACCCACAATCATAGGTTTCTGGCGCGCCCAAGGGACGCAACTCTGCACAGCGAATCGCGGCGCCTTAGAGGACTGGGACACCCGTGCACCCTATATGGCAGTACTTCCAAGTTCAAATGTTTATGACCCGAAGAGAGAGACAGATGATGTCAGCATTTTGGAATCAGTCGTACAGCACGTAACTGTCATTTGGAAAGCCAGTAAACTTTTTGACGTTGCAAGATTAGAAAACAGATTTGGACTCCTACTTTTGCGATCTCGTAAGAGACACCTGATTGGTTGGATGAAAGCTCATTCTGACATGACCTGTAATGGGATGTCCTCAGATCTTTGTGTGGCGGTAGCAAGCACTAAGATCTGATAACAATGAGATTGCATGTTTCTACAGAGTGTGATATACCAACAGTGATGTACTGCAGTCTACAGTCAAGTTGATAACATCTGCTATGTTGTACCTAACATACACAAGTCTATTTGTTCACTCTAGTGACGACAACATCAACAGCTGCTTCAACACTTTTGTCTGGCTCGTCTCTCGTATTTCTCCTGCTAAGAACATCTCATCCACAACGCTGTACACCTGAAACACCAAAATCAAATTTCAATTAGAACATGATGGATCGTATGAGTGAGTGAGTTGGGGTCAACGCCGCTTTAAACAGTATTCCAGTTATATCCCGCCCTTCCAGCTGGGAGAAAAACCTGAACTGATTCAGGTCTCAGATGTTTACCACTTTGGTGAAACTAACGAGCAAGGGTATGGTGCTGGCAAACCTAAAAACATAATTGGAGCGAACTGGGATTCGAACCCAAAATCATAGGTTTCTGGCATGCCCAAGGGACATAACTCTGCATAGTGAATTGGTACACCTTAAACGACTGGTCCCCCCGTGCTGATGATGTGAACGTGGTGATGTAAGAAATATGTTGCTCAGAATTATTATATCCTGTAAGGTCTGATTGCAATATTTAATTCACAATATTTACTGGAATTTCCCTACCTCATGAATAGCCAAGAATATCACATGACAAGTATTGGCACAATATACAGTGACACCATGTTTATGTACCATTCCTCATGTAACTTGTAACACACTTACAGATGGACAACTCATGCATGCAGAGCAGTGTTACATTAAAGATATAGAGACATTCCAAACAAGACTGTCTGGACTGCAAGGTTTCCGATTATAAAGATAACTTACATACTGGAATTAAGTCAAAGGACACTTATTGAAATGAGCGCTTAATATTGATAATTAATGACCATCAACCTTCCACATAGGTAAATAATTTAGAAGATATACAAATCCAATACTTACTTATGGACAATAACAATTTTATATAATATTTAGTTATACATCTTAACTATCTATCTCACATGCAAACTTGGAAAAGAGAAAGTGTGAGTGAGTGAATGAGTTTGGTTTAACGCCGCTTTTAACAGTATTCCAGTTATATCACGGCGTGTCAGCTTAATGTGGGAGGAAAGCCCGAAGTGATGCAGGTCTCAGATGTTTACCACTTTGGTGAAACCCACGAGCACGGGTATGGTGCTGACAAACCTAGAAACATAATCGGGCCGAACCGGGATTCGAACCCACAATCATAGGTTTCTGGCGTGCCCAAGGGACACAACTCTGCACAGCAAATCGTGGCGCCTTAGACGACTTGGCCACCTGTGCCCCCGAAAAGAGAAAGTGTTGGAGGTAATCATGATAATGTATTACACTGTCACTGATCGGTTGTCCCACCCAAATCCTATTTACATTTAGTATGTACTTACTTTATAAAAATTAAAGACTAGATCAAGTTCGCACACATTGTGGAAGAACTCATTGAGAACTTCTACAAAGTTGTGGATGGCCTCCAAACATGCCAGATTGTTGTCACTGACATCAACACAGATGCAGAAGTAGAGGCCAGCATAGCGACGGTACACAATCTTGAAATTCCTAAACTAGAAAACAGAAGAAACACCAGTTAGTCACATCAACATTTTAGCTTTGTACTTTTGCAAAATGCTAGATCACACTACGTCTTTGTCCAGTTTTAGTGTAAAATGTTTTCCAAGGTTGAACTAGTGACCAGTGAGTGGAGATAATCTTTGCCAAAATGTCTAAACTGTTGTGATGCTGATAACCTGTTTGACTCCTTGTCTTGTGGACAATTTTATAATAAAAATACCAAATACTTTCTGCTCTGTGCCAAATAACTACCCTTACTATGGAAATCGAGGTTATCAGATATATTTCAACATATGTTTTTATTTTTATACCATGTGTAGAGTATACATGCTGGATGAATTTCTTCCTCTTGCCCGTATCTTTATAAAACATCATCAGATGGATATGTAAAGGAAACAAATAGAAATTGAAAGTGTTGCTGTGGCAGCAAATATGTCCAAAATCTTGACTCACCTCTACAAAATTTGTGTGCTTTGCATCTCGCACTGTGACCACAGCATGGACTTCTTCTATAAGCTTCTGTTTTTCATCATCATCAAAGTGCATGTACCACTTTGCCAAGCGGGTTTTACCTGCTCTGTTCTGGATTAAAATAAACCTGATCTGTGGAGAAAAACAGAAAATGTTTGGAATTATGTTTAGAATACAAATTGACCAATGCTAAAGCTCAATGATATTCATAAAGAAGTTCAATGTAATGAAGCAGCCATAACGTTTCGCATGCTGAGAATCAAACCTTGGAAATTTTGTATCTGAGGCGTGACACCTTGTTCACATGACCATAGAGACTTAACTCCATGCCTAAGCTTACAAGGTAGGATGGCTCCACACCTTGCAACAGTACATTATTTTTTCAGCGCTTACAGACCTTCCTGTGATGCCAGCATGAAGTGTTCAGTTCTATATTTCCATAAGCATAAAGTGATTGGTTCATTTTGATTATACATCCCTATGAGTTAAGCTGAAGGAGTCAAGGTACAACAGACGGATGTACACATCCACAAAACATGACAGCGGAAAGTTTGATTTACGCTTGTAATGGTCATCAAAATAAGTCACCATTTATTTATAGAAACATTACCAACAATATTGATTGGTACAGGAGCATAACCTCGTTATTGATTTTTAGTGATCTAAATTTTAATATTAATTACAAGTTGCTTGAGTCCAATATTGTTTAGCTACATAATTTATACAAAAAGTGACAAGACACAGACAGGGTTACATGTGGACCAAACGTGTATAAATGTCTACAACCATGTTACTGAGACAGAGTGAACCATTTTTATCCACCAAATATGAAAGTGTTATAGTTTGTGATATGGGTAGAGTATTTGATTCACTGTGTACTGGGTGATCTAGGCCTATTGCAAGATTTGATGAATATGATGGTCGATTAACGTCGTGCTTCCACACGAATCAGCGCATATAACGCGGAACATATATCCAGAACACATTGAAACAGCCATATGAACAATTTCACCACGATCTGTAATTACTGTAACTAAAATAATGGATAACATTTACAGAAACTCACCATTTTGACAGTGTAAAAGTGTAACCGGCAGTGACTCCTCCCACAAAAGAGCATGCGCACTGAACGGGAACATGTTTATTTCCGCTTCCGGCTTTACAACGTGCTTGCAGCATGAAAATATTGTTATGAGAGTTGTTTGACACTAACGGCACATCCAGCAGCATGGACAGGATCGATGAATTGCGAACACGTGTTAAGTTGAACGAATATGGTGTTGACAATGTAATGTATATTATTTCTTGAATTTTCTTCCCACATTTTCTGCTTATGAAGTCGGTGTTGTTTATGGTCTTTGGCATAGGGAATACAACCGTTGATTTAACTGACGCTTCAGACACTTTTGGACCTGGTACCATGTTGTACGCTGAATGTGGCAGAGATACTATGGCAGTCAGATGGTTAAAGTATCACTGCACTCTATATTATCATAGTGAGTGAGTGAGTAGGGTTTAACACCATTTTTAGCAGCCCGAAGTGATGCAGTTTTCAGACATTTGCCACTTTGATTAAACCCGTGAGCACAGGTATGGGGTGCGAACTGACAATCATAGGTTTCTGGTGTGCCAAAGGGACACAACTTTGAACAGAGAATTGCACCGCCTTTGAGCCACTTACTATAGTACCTTTATATTATTATTGTTGAGTACACTGCTTTTGGACGACATCTATTGTCGAACAGCCTTATTGATAATGATTTGTCGTATTATAACGAGAGGTGTGACATAATCAACGCGCACACATTCGTCCCGCAACATTGGATTTATGTATGTAATGTAAAGAAATGGTGTAGTGTATTGTACTGTAAGATTAGATACTTTAATTACATCAACTCTATAATTCTTTAGAAGCATTTGGTACAATGGATATTATTGTGAGTCCCTTGGGTCACAATATATACATGTATTATATTCTGCATGCATTCTATATGTTTTTGCGTACTGGATGCACATTTCTGCATTTTAAAACCCTGCTACACTCTTCTCATGAACATTGACAGTTATCATGGTTATACAGTTTATGATGCCACAATGGCCAAACTCCTGTTTAGATTGTATGGCCTGGACATGACGTTGATGTGTAGCCTGTGACTGTGAGCAGGTCAGTCCGAGGATATAACATCTAGGTTTTGGTGGTCTTGATTTTAGGTACACAGCACTGACTTCCCTGGGAACTATTCAGGGTATGATGATACGTGGAGCCACAGCAAGTTTAAAAAGGTAATTTATAACAAATATACACAGCATGAAACCAGTTAAGTCCCTTGAAAATCCTTTGACTAACTAAATTGTTTGACTTTTTAATGGTTCTTTAGTCTTATTGTCAGTGATACTAGTTGTAAAGAACAGGATAGTTTACAGAAGTTTGGCTGAGTTAAACTGGATATTTGTTGATTAATTCTGTGCATTCAGTAAGATCCGCTTACCGTTTCATATTTAAATAAAGTACTCCTGAGTATCTTGTCATCTGGTTATCAACATATTATCTGTTTACAGAAATTCCGGATTGATGTTGTGAAATTGGAAGGGGATGTTTTGGAATTTGATATGGTTGGTATCGATGCTGCCATTGCAAATGCCTTCCGAAGAATTTTGCTTGCTGAGGTATAGTATTGTTGTGAAAGTGGTTGAAGTTGTGAAGCAAACAAAAACGTCACTAGTCACCAAATTGTGTGACAATAGATCAAACTACCAATGTTCATGGTCAATACAGTACATTAACAGTGACAGTGCTGAATGTAACATTGGACATATATTTTAGACTTTTTCATCAGGTGGAATAATGACAGGAAGTCAATGTTGTTGGATTGTGAATGCTTATCAGGCTATCGCAGAACTATTGTACTTTTGTTTTTTGTTTTTTTGTTTAAAGCTGCTATCAGCAATATTCATACTATATGACGGTGGTCTGTAAATAATCAAGCCTGGGCCAGACAGTCCTGTGATTGACATCACGAACATCGATCTACACAACTGGGATACAATGACATGCATCAACCAAGTCAGCGAGCCTGACCACTTGATTCCCCTTAGTTGCCTCTCTTGACCAGCATGAGTTGCTGAAGATCAATTTTAACCCGGATCTTTACGGGTCGCAATACTATTGCAAAAGCTGTACCATTTTTGCATCTTTATCTCAAAAGTGTTTTGGGGTAATGCAGTACTATTGCAGTTGATTAAATGGCCCCAATAGGTCACCGTACTTTTAGCTCCATCTTTATTGTCAACTTCTTAAATTCAGTTTGTTGCATTTCTTCTACGAACTGGCAATATTTGTGGGTCAAGTAATATTGTGCTGAGACTTTGACTCTAGATCCTTTCATATTTGTCTTTCTAGGTACCTACTATGGCAATAGAGAAGGTGTTTGTGTATAACAACACATCCATCATCCAAGATGAGGTGCTAGCACACAGACTTGGCCTCATCCCCATCCAGGCAGATCCAAGGCTGTTCGAATACCGACAGGAAGGTAAGACATAGGGGAAAGACAAATGTATTTGAAGAAATGGGTTTTTTTTAGATTTAGTTTCTTTATTGTTGAAAGCTGTACCACTTGTTAGTGCTAGTGTAGTGCAGACTGTGCCTCTATCTCTGCAGAGTTCTGTCCCTTGTGTTCCAGGATGTGCTAATTATGGGTTCAAATCCCAAATTTGCCCAAACCACCCCTACCCCCCACTAATTGGTGACTACTCTTTGGGATTCTGGGACAGAATGGGTTGCCATAAATGTATTTGCTTGAGTAAGCACAACCAGGTCGGATCCTGCTTTTTTTTAAAGGGAGGGGCCCATGATACCAAAATCGTCTCAGATGATTTTACTTTCTACATCATTTGGTTTTCAAAAAGGAAGGGGTGGGGGGAATCTAGACCCTCCCTATGGATCCACCTATGAACAATGTGTGAAACCTAGTCTTGATATTCCTGGAATGTTGCTAAAGGCTCAGCATCAAACACCACTCACTCACCCACTCAAACATCAATCCTCCCATCCACCCGTCCACGGGCATAAAGCACCCAACAAGCTTTGATGGCTGTGTTTGTTGCAGGTGAGCTGGAGGGCACAGCCCAGGACACAGTGGAGTTCCAGCTGAAGGTCAAGTGTGCCAGAAAGCCACAGAGCAAGGATGCTACTGACCCTGACGAGATGTACAAAGACCACAAGGGTACATCATGGCAGACAAACATGCATTAAATACCTGGGCCTACTTGCACTAAGCAATCTTAGCACTAAGACTGTTTTAAGTGTATGTTAAAGTATGGGTGTTACAATGGTTTTAGCAGTAAGATCTCTTTATGCAAGTGGGCTCAGATTATTTCATAGTGCAGTGGGCTCATGTAAGTTAAGAAATAAACGATGAGTGGGAGTGGTTTATCGTACCTTAAAACACATCAGGAAGAATAAACTGTGAGAGGCGCAGTCCTGAGTGGTTTATTGTCCCTGCAGTGTTTTATTGTACGTTAAACAAGGACCATGAGTTGATTATCTTTATATATGAGATATCAACATTACGTACAGCCTCTTTAAGGATGTTACTGAAAGTTTCAAACTTCAAAAATATTTACCCGTATTTAAAATATGATGACTCCCTGATTAGAATCCGAGCTCGGCAATGTTGGACAAGTCTATTTAATGAACAGGTTGGTTAAGTTTTGTATTTCCTGCATATTCTCATATTCTCATAATCCTCATGTTGATTATCTGTACTTTTTCTCCTAATACTGATTGTCATATCTCTCCCACTTTTGGATGCGATCGGTAGCCACTGCGGTTTATATGCATAGCCCAGCTACATCCCTGGAGAACAACTTACCAGACACTTCCCTCTAAAAAATTAACGTCGTCCAATATATGACGTCATCAAGTTGTGAGTGCATATAGAGAATCTCACCCTTGTGTCTTTTGATATCACATATATCAAAGAGTTTATATATATTTTAATATCAAAAGCCACGAGGGTCAGATTTTATTTGTCATCCAACATCTTTCTTCCAACTTTTTGAGTTTGTTGACAGCAATAAGCAGTGTTTAAAGTGTAAAAATTACTGCTAAGAGCTCTAGTAACAGAGCTATTAGCGATGTCATTTGATTGTGACGTCATGGTATCAAAATGGTCTGCAAAGCATTGTGATGCAATTTCATTGCAGCGATATCTACAATTTTGATCTCACCCAAGTGATATCTCCTGTGGGAGCCAGTTTTGGATGACCAATAAACAACGCTTCATTCTTCATTGTTCTTTGTGATTTTACTTATATTTGAAATTCAAGGACCTTGTCAAAAGTGTCTATCACTTTATCTCAGCCTTGAGGTGAAAAGACAACTTTGTTGAGTTCAGTTAAATCTTAACCCACAATTTGGTGAAACAACAAGGGCAGAGTTGGTAAATGTCTTGGATCTGTGTTTCACAGTGCTTTCCCCCATGTTACATTGATATGCCCTAATGTGACTGAAATACTGCTCAAAGCAGCATTGCGGGCACGGGTGGCCCAGTCGTCTAAGGTGCCGCGATTCGCTGTGCAGAGTTGTGTCCTTTGGGCACGCCAGAAACCTATGATTGTGGGTTCAAATCCCGATTCGCTCCAGTTATGTTTCTTGGTTTGTCAGCCCCAAACCCGTGCTCGTGGGTTTCACCGAAGTGGTAACGTCTGAGACCTGCATCACTTCGGGCTTCCTCCCACATTAAGCTGACACGCCGCGATATAACTGGAATACTGTTAAAAGCGGCGTTAAACCCAACTCACACACTCACTCAAGGCAGCATCAAACCCAGTTCACTCTCTCACTCAATCACTTGCCTGTTGCAGTTACAACGGAGTTCATGAAGTGGATGCCTATAGGAGACCAGACCAGCATTGTAAGTCCTCAAGTATCATCTTTAAAAGTTTGGTCAATGTTAGTACATGTATCATGCAAACTGAAGTCGATCTGAAATTCCCCTACGTTTGTGGTAATACTAATGTTAACATGTTCTTGCAGTTCAAACCAGGGGACCTGAAGCCTGTGGTAGATGATATCCTCATAGCTAAACTGCGGCCGGGCCAGGTGAGTGGAGGGAAGGGGGGGGACTCCTGAGGACGGAATAATAACACTATAAGATGACTGAATGATGAGGGTGATATATATATCATAGGAATGAGTGCTGTCTTTCCATCCGTCACATTTTGTTTCCAGAGCATAATTCAAAGACTGTTTAATATTTCTTGACCAAACTTTGCCCAGATATCAGTCCTGCATCTGACTGGTGCCTTCTGCTATTGAGGAATTTCTTAATATTTTTGGTTTCCATGACAATTAGTTGGGTAGACAACGACAACAAATTCCAATCAATGTAGGGTTTATTTCCAGAGCATAATCCTGAACCATTTGTACTTCCTCAGTCGAGTGGTCAACTTCTGATGTTTATGATATTTGAAGAATATATCTTTTGCATGGAATATCTCAGCTTTATTGATTATAGAACAAGACCCAGAGAGTTTTTGTGCCCAAGGGCTTTTATTCTTGCACTTAGTACAACATACCATCGGCAGGGGACATGAGCATTCTTCCATTGCCGGCTTGTTATTTCAATTGGAACTCAGCCTGAATTTGAGAATATTTATATCTTTCTTCAGACAGGCTGAATTACTTTTCTGTTGTGAAAGTGTCTTGAAAATCAAGGACTTTATCTGACTTTAAGTTTCTGTTTGTCCACTAACCCTCTTCCACAAAATGATTTAAGCATAACCTTCACAGACTGATCATAATGTAAAGATTACTTTGTTCCACTAAGCGATCGAAGAGCTAAGACGTCATAACTCTTCAATCATTTTGTGGAACGGGATCCGGGCCTGACATTGTTCTTCCTTTCCTTACATCGTCTCAGACAGCTATATGCTGAAAGAATGCCGATGTGACATTAAATTTTAGCTTGCACTCACACACTCAGACAGCAGTGGTCACTCTTTGTCTTCTGGGGGCGGTCGGGTAGCCTAGTGGTTTAAGCGTCTGCTCGTCATGCCGAAGACTCGGGTTTGATTACCGACATGGGTACAATGTGTGAAGCCCATTTCTGGTGTCCGCCGCCGTGATATTGCTGGAATATTGCTAAAAGCCGCATAAGTTCAAACTCACTCACTCACTTTGTGTTCTGTTGTGATGAGAAGCGTTTAGGTGCGATTTTCCTCAAGACAATGTGTAACTGTGTGTTGATGTTTACAGGAGCTGGACCTCAAGTTACACTGTGTGAAGGGTATTGGGAAGGACCATGCCAAGTTCTCACCTGTGGGTTAGTAAATGATACTACACCTGTAATCATGTCCATTCACAGACTTTGTAGGAGTATTATTCAGCTTTTTGTATTCCAAATGAAAATGTGATGGCCAGGATATATACCGTATAGCATTGTCAGGAATTATAACTATCAGATTATGTTGTGAAAATTTCATGCTGTTTGTTTGTTTGTTAACGCCTCACTCAGCAATATTCCAGTTATATGATTGCAAACTGTAAATAATGCCTAACTAGACAAACTAGTGATTGATGTTTCGAGCAATGCCCATTGACATTGAGGTATGATGACACATCGTCATTAAGTTGTCTCTTACAACCAGCATAGGTTGCTGGGAACTATTCTGACCTTCCCTGAGTCCCTGAGGGACTGTCACATGGATTCACAGAATTGACTTCAAGACATTCTTTATCTTCAGCCACGGCCTCGTACCGCCTCCTGCCAGAGATCCGACTGACTCATCCTGTTGAGGGTGATTCTGCTGAAGAGCTACAGAAGTGCTTCTCCCCGGGGGTCATTGATGTGGACAATGTCCATGGTAGGTCACACTTGCTGGGGGACTACAGAAGTGCTTCTCCCTGGGGGTCATTGATGTGGACAATGTCCATGGTAGGTCACACTTGCTGGGGGGCTAGAGAAGTGCTTCTCCCCAGGGGTCATTGAGGTGGACAATATCCATGGTAGGTCACACTTGCTGGGGGGTAGTTGTTCAATTGGGCATACTTTTGTTTGTTGCTTAATGCAGTATGAGGCAGTATACAAACAACTTGATGATGTCCTGTAAATAGTGATACCAGACAATCTAGTGTAAGGTATCATGATCACAATCCACACTGTTGGGATACACAATCGGCCAAGTCACAGAGTCTGACCTCCTATTTAATTTAGTTACCTCTTGCCTTGAGCATAGATTGCAAGGGACCAATTCTATCCCAGAATCCCCACTTGGTTCAAACTGGTATTATGCTCATTCACTTACACACTACACCTGTGAAGATCCGGGTTAGAATAGGTCTTCAGCAACCCATGCATGCTGTAACAGGCAACAATGCTTGTCATAAGAGGCGACAAATGGGATTGGGGGTGTCAAGCTCACTGGCTTGGTTAATGCAGGTCATCGTATCCTAATTGCATGGATTGATGCTCATGATGTCAATCACTTGATTGTTTGGTCCAGACTCGATTATTTACAGACCGCCATCATATAGCTGGAAAATTGCTGAGTGCGGCGTTAAACAACAAACAAACAAAACTTACACACTAAAGAAAATTATATATTTTTTTAAACACTCAGGGTCCAAAATGGGAGACATCTTGGATGTGCTGTTCGGTTTGCACTTCAGAATTAATGTGTTACCTGAGATTTGCTGGCATGAGATATTCTTGTTTTCACAGGTAGGAAGAAGGCTCGTGTAGCACATGCTCGTCGTGACACCGGCAGCCGTGAGGTCTTCAGACATGATCACCTCAAGGATAATGTCCAGCTCAGCAAAGTCAGAGATCACTTCATTTGTAAGTTGATACATCAGATGTTTCGATATTTTCACACCACATTAAACTGCAGCATCCCTGCCTTTCTTCTTCCTGGATGATGATTAGCCATTATGAAAATAATAAAAAACAGTTTTAGATGTGTATGCCACTCGTTATATATGGTGGTTCTGTAAGGTTTGGTTTGTGTGTTTGCAGTTTGTGTAGAAAGCACTGGTGTGTTGCCCCCGGATGCCCTGGTGGTGGAGTCCATCAAGGTTCTCATCGGGAAGTGTAACCGCTTCCTGCAGGAGATGTCCGATTCCAGCGGTGCCGGGGATGCGTCATGATGTCGAGCCCTAGTCCAATACCATGTCCCAACCCTTGTCCAATACCATGTCCCAACCCTTGTCCTATACCATGTCCCAACCCTTGTCCAATACCATGTCCCAACCCTTGTCCTATGTCCCATGTTCCAACCCATATCCCTCTAAAGACAACAGTGGATGAGAGATTGAACGTCTGTGTATTGCTTCTGAACACGAGGAGCAGGACTCTGACTGCCAGATCTTGTAGGTGATGCTCCTTCCCAGGCACACTTGACTTGGAACTTACGGATGCAAGTTATTGTGTGAAACATAAGTTTCACTTGGCAAACAAGTCTGTCGATATATCTTAAACGTGTTGTTAATTGACAAGTGTTTTTTCATTTTGGTAAAAATATTTGTCAAATCAATTTAATAGTCTGAAACAATATTAGAAATAATTGCCATTAGTGTCTGTTTAGATATTACTCTGGACATGAAAAAATTCTCTTTGATAAATCTACGACTGTTCATCAAATGTTTACTTCATACAGACCCAAAAGTGTTTGAGTGAGTGAACGCAAACATGGAGGAAACTGCGTGTATGAAAATGGCCTGGCTAATCTTGGAGTAGTGTTGAGGTGATTGTGTTAACTTGGGAGACATGAGTCATGGGCTCACTCTGCCTGTCACACCGATCAGGATGTGCTAATGGAGAAGGTCAAGGTGGAAATAACATGCACATACCGTATTTCCTCCAATACGTGCCAGCCTCTAATTGCTGTGGGTCATTCTCTCTCCAATGACGAGGAGCCATTGGAGCCAGACTTCTACTAGAGGCTGGGTCCATCATTTGATGAAATTAAATGTCCCTGTCACATTATCTTACGGCATGTAATGATTACTCCCTTCACTGTATAATAACTGTTTCCTGTAAATGTATCCTTGGGTATGACTAACATTTGGGATTTGGTGAGATTGTGAGTTGCCACTGTGAGTTGCCACAGTATAAATGCTGGTCAACAGCTTGCACACAATTAATAGATGCCCAGGCGTCAAATACGGTATGTTTGTGTCGGATGACACAAGTTACGGGACAATCTGTTGTCAGCATTCTACAAGAGCTGCTAAACTAAAACTAGTTCAGTGCAGCGTCTGATGATGACATTTCGGAAGAATTTGACATGCAACAAAACTTTCTGGTGACAAGATGTTGGATAAAACCAATACCGATTGACAAACAATATATATCAAATAAAATCTGTTCCCAAACAAGATATCGGATAAAGCCTGTTCACAAACAGACTGACAACGACCAGCGTGCAGGTTACACATAAAGGATAAAGCCTGTGTTGTATGTTTTCATTGTGTCGACTGAGGCCAAGATGCTTCTGTTGGAACAGGACTTTGGCCGACTTTCCACCATTGATGAAATTGTTATGTAATGGTTGAGTTTACTGGAGATGTGTTATGCAATGAGTGTACAGTGCACTGAAACGTGTCAATGGAAGAGCATGTATCATTTATGTACAATTTTGTTAAAATTAATATGAACTTGAATAAAATGAATGCTAGTTATTGTGAATAATGTGAGCCTTATTTCATAGGTTGTATTTATTTGTAGTTTGTATTCTGTGCTACTCAAAAGATTTTAAGGATCACCTGATTCTTTCATATTGCTATAGTAATCTGTCATAGCATCACAGGTTAACTGGGGGCAGTGGGGTAGCCTAGTGGTTAAAGTGTTCCCTCATCATGCCAAAGACCCAGGTTTGATTTCCCCACATGGATACAATGTGTAAAGCCTATTTCTGGTGTCCCCCGCCTTGATATTGCTGGAATATTGCAAAAAGTGGCATTAAATATAACTCGTTCACTCACAAATTAACTATATCAATATAAAGAAATTGGTTGGTCCTTAACTTCTTTTTATCAGTATATGTTGAAAATCACCTGTGAAAAGTGTTGCTGTATGATGGTGATCTGCTCGATGTAAAGAGACGAACCAACACTCACTCGATGTATAGAGACGAACCAACACTCACTCGATGTATAGAGACGAACCAACACTCACTCGATGTATAGAGTCGAACCAACACTCACTCAATGTATAGAGACGAACCAACACTCACTCAATGTATAGAGACGAACCAACACTCACTCGATGTATAGAGACTAACCAACACTCACTCGATGTATAGAGACGAACCAACACTCACTTGATGTATAGAGACGAACCAACACATCACTCGAGACGAACCAACACTCACTCAATGTATAGAGACGAACCAACACTCACTGGATGTATAGAGACGAACCAACACTCACGATGTATAGAGACGAACCAACACTCACTCGATGTATAGAGACGAACCAACACTCACTCGATGTATAGAGACGAACCAACACTCACTCGATGTATAGAGACGAACCAACACTCACTCGATGTATAGAGACGAACCAACACTCACTCGATGTATAGAGACGAACCAACACTCACTCGATGTATAGAGACGAACCAACACTCACGATGTATAGAGACGAACCAACACTCACTCGATGTATAGAGACGAACCAACACTCACTCGATGTATAGAGACGAACCAACACTCACTCGATGTATAGAGACGAACCAACACTCACGATGTATAGAGACGAACCAACACTCACTCGATGTATAGAGACGAACCAACACTCACGATGTATAGAGACGAACCAACACTCACTCGATGTATAGAGACGAACCAACACTCACTCGATGTATAGAGACGAACCAACACTCACTCGATGTATAGAGACGAACCAACACTCACTCGATGTATAGAGACGAACCAACACTCACTCGATGTATAGAGACGAACCAACACTCACTCGATGTATAGAGACGAACCAACACTCACGATGTATAGAGACGAACCAACACTCACTCGATGTATAGAGACGAACCAACACTCACTCGATGTATAGAGACGAACCAACACTCACTCGATGTATAGAGACGAACCAACACTCACGATGTATAGAGACGAACCAACACTCACTCGATGTATAGAGACGAACCAACACATCACTCGAGACGAACCAACACTCACTCAATGTATAGAGACGAACCAACACTCACTGGATGTATAGAGACGAACCAACACTCACGATGTATAGAGACGAACCAACACTCACTCGATGTATAGAGACGAACCAACACTCACTCGATGTATAGAGACGAACCAACACTCACTCGATGTATAGAGACGAACCAACACTCACTCGATGTATAGAGACGAACCAACACTCACTCGATGTATAGAGACGAACCAACACTCACTCGATGTATAGAGACGAACCAACACTCACTCGATGTATAGAGACGAACCAACACTCACTCGATGTATAGAGACGAACCAACACTCACGATGTATAGAGACGAACCAACACTCACTCGATGTATAGAGACGAACCAACACTCACTCGATGTATAGAGACGAACCAACACATCACTCGAGACGAACCAACACTCACTCAATGTATAGAGACGAACCAACACTCACTCGATGTATAGAGACGAACCAACACTCACTCGATGTATAGAGACGAACCAACACATCACTCGAGACGAACCAACACTCACTCGATGTATAGAGACGAACCAACGCTCACTCGATGTATAGAGACGAACCAACACTCACGATGTATAGAGACGAACCAACACTCACTCGATATATAGAGACGAACCAACACTCACTCGATGTATAGAGACGAACCAAAACTCACGATGTATAGAGACGAACCAACACTCTCTCTCCTTGCATGTCCTGGCCTTAATCTGGCATGACTGAAATAGACTGTTTCGATTCCCATGTGGGGATTCCAGGTTAAGTCCTTTGGAACGTATGCTTGTCATAGGAGGGAACTAAAGTAGATCCTGTTGTCAGGCTCCGACTTGGTTTACAACCTGGCATACTCAGCATCATGGTCGTTACTCATAATATCATCCACTGGTTTGTCTATTACAGACTTGATTATCTTAAGTCTGCAGTGATAATGCTTGAATATTGCATCAAGGGGGTTAAAGAAGCAAACCAAACAGTGTAAACTTTGGAGCTTGCCCCAGAACAAGATACAGGGGACTGACCTACTACATGGCTGAATTTGGGATTTTATGTCAGAGTAGGTGGCCACCACTTAGCAAATGTGACCTGACTTAGTTTGTGTCATCGCACAGTGGCGAGGATTGTTGCTCATGCTGTCAACCTCCAGGTCCAGCCTCCCAGGCCTTAAGGGTCAAAGAATTGGCAGAACACAGATGACTTTGTCTTTCTTAAGCATGAGTGGTTGACAGAGGAGCATTGATAGAAAAACACCCTACCATTAATTTTTTATCCATTTATATTGTTTGAGCAAAGATCCAAACCCAGGGCACATGCATGCACACATGTTTTGTATAACGCACGGTGGTACTCAATATCTGGATGGCATGGTTCACATGTGACAAATGCTGCATTCCCTGGGAATGTTGGTCATGTGGTGAACATGCGAGGGGTGGGCGAAATGTTCCGAACTACAAAGGATGTCGTGCACCCTAGACTTGCACAAGTCTCTAAGGCAATAATTTTTAGTTTAAATCATAATTTCTAGATTATATAAATAATAACAAGTTGTCCCTATAAGAGACTAGCATCCTTCGATGTTCTGTCCGCTTATCTAGACTTGTACATTATAAGGATAGAATTACTGCACATTCATGGACTTATCTTTTGATGCAGCGTTGGAGCAAGGCGAAGTACATCCTTAACAGTTTGCATGTATAAAGCACAATACTTTCCATGCCTACAGGCTGCATTTGACCCAAATACACATCCAGGAGCAACATTGTTCTGCAGGCATCAACGTCACTTGGTATTCTCTGTTGATGAAAATGGACAAAGTCGGCTAACACACTGTCATCAAATGTTTCCAAATGAAAGGGCTAGCTCCGACAGCCATCCTTGCCCACATGGTGTCAACTTTAAGGGATGATACTTCCCCCCCTCCCTTGCTACTGTGGCTAGGCAGAGTTCAAGAGAGGAAGAGAGATCCTCGATGCTGATCCAAGATGAGGAAGACCCTCTGGTGCCGCCACTATTGGATATGTTGATAATATACACATGAATATGGACAATCACAACTTACCACACTCCATATAGACAAGACAGTCAACATCTCTCAGGAGAGAGTTGACAACTTTCAGAATAAAAGCGACAAAACTATTTCCATAGCCACAAGACAGGAAAAGGTTTCAGCATGCTGTGTTCCAAAGCTTCTGACCCAGGCCCCAGGTTTATCATTTCGTGAGAATTTACGTGTAACCATGTATTGCGTTCACTGCTACCAGCCAAAGACAACAGTGTAAACAACAGTTAACACACTGGAAACATCTAACGTCTCCGAAGGAGAAGGGAAAGTCTGTTCCATCAGCTGCCGCTTTGGTTTTCTGGGATTTCAAAGAAATCCTACTGGTGGACTACCTCCCAGGTCAGACCAGTCATATTATGTAAACCTGCGTGTGAATATCAAGACTAAACGCGAAAAACTCACCAAGGTCGCAATCCAGCATCATTATGTTTCTAGGTTTGTCCGCACCATACCCGTGCTCGTGGGTTTCACCGAAGCGGTAAACGTCTGAGACCTGCATCACTTCGGGCTTTCCTCACACATTCAGCTGACACGCCGTGATATAACTGGAATAGTGTTAAAAGCGGCGTTAAACCAAACTCACTCACTCTCTCAATCCAGCATCGCTGGCAGATGTGTGTGGACGTCGGAGGGATTATGTTGAAAAGCAATTGCCGACCAACTCCATCAACGAGTTTATCACAGTTTGGCTCAGAACATTTCAGCCGCCCCTTGTATTTACATACCACTGAGGGTGAAATGTGGTTCAAGCGCGGATGCAGCTTTTTGAGAAAGATGTGGTGCACTAAAATTCACAAATTTTGGCACATCATTCCACAAACAATTTGTATTTCTTTGCCATCATGTAGTCAGTAAATTGTTATTTTTGTTGAAAGCCAACTGATATCTTGCGGACATGCAAGTCTAACATCAAAGGTAATGATGGTGTGTGATGACAAAATCGTCCACACATCTTTAGACAATGACTATGTGAATTGTCTCATTAACGACTCCCTGTTTCACATTCTATCTCCGTGCCATTGGTACTGGTCTCTCAAAGTATTGGTGAACTTTCTTTTGGGCGTCATTCTATATGTGTGTAAGAAGCAATTTTGTGGATCGGGTGGTCGGACTCGGCGAGTGACTTGGTGTATTGCATATCATCGTTTTATTTGTTTGTTTACGCCGCACTCAGCAGTATTCCAGCTATATAACGGCGGTCTGTAAATAATTGAGTCTGGACAAGACAATCCAGTAACTGACATCATGAGCATCGATCCATGGGATACGATCACATGTATCAACCAAGTCAGCGAGCCTGACCACCCGATCCCGTTAGTCGCCTCTTACGACAAGCACTGTCGTCTTTTACGGCATGCATGGGTTGGTGAAAACCTATTCCAAACCGGATCTTCGTATGTCATCGTACCCCGACGGGGTAGATC